TATTTACACGAACGAACTAAATACATGGATTTATAAAAAAAAAATACTAGTACCATTTACATTCAGTACCGAATTAAGATGCATTTGAATTTAAAAGGGGGCTGTTACCAGTGTGAATCAGATGTGGATACTAAAAAATCCAAAGATCAGTTAGAAAACAAGGGACACAAATGATGCTTGTATACAGTCACTCTAATACAAACACACAGTTGTCTGGAACTTACACCATTAAGATACTTGATTTATTATAGACATTGTCTTTGTTGATATTGGTGGATGTTATTTTTTACCACCCAGTCGGTATTCATTAAAAGAACCAACTATGCTCCTCTTTTCTCCGTCTTCCACTTTTATTTTTATAAGACAGACGTCATGTAAAGACTTCTCGGGAGGAATGAAAAGAAGCTAGCATTATCCTTGAACTTCACATTCTTCTATAAAGATAAAGGCCTCACACTGAATAATTCAAAGTAGGTAACTATGTTGATGGCATCTATCTTATTGAAGACATCACAGAACAGTTAGGACTGCTTCATATCTTAACTTGTATTTAGAAATTTACTGTGAGACTCGTTAAGATCATTTCAATTTTCCCACTGTGAACTTTCCATCTCACAACATGTAGCAATATCTTTGCTACACTACGTAAAGAGTCTACATATCTAGATTGATACAATATAAAATTGAGAATGGAAACGGGGAATGCGTCAAAGAGACAACAACCCGACCAAATAGCAGGAAACAGCCCAAGGCCACCAATGGGTCTTCAACACAGCGAGAAAATCCCGCACCCGGAGGCGGGCTTCAGCTTGGCCCCTAAAAATAATGTATACTAGTTCAGCGAAAATGGATGTCACACTAAACTCCGAAACATATATATGAACCAAAATTACAAAAAAACACACAAGACTAACAAAGGCCAGAGGTTTCTGACTTGGGACAGGCGCAAAAATGTCGCGGGGTAAAACATGTTTTGTGAGATCTCCCCCCTCCCCATCATACCTTAAGCTAATGTGGAATAAACAAACACATAGCAATACGCACTGTAAAATTCAGTTTAAAAGAAGTCCGAGTCCGATGTTAGAATAGGTTACACAAGAAATTAAGCAAAATGACAATAATCAACATAGAATAACAAAATACTACTAGCAGTTATTGACATGCCAGCTCCAGACCTCAATTAAACTGATTGAAAGATTATGTCTTCATCATATGAAACTCAAGCACAATCCCTCACGTTAGTGGTTTAGTATCATACAATCATAAAATATACGATATTATATAATTATAGTATTAGGTCGATATGAGGTTAAATCGACATATGAGAAGCATATTGAATGAGGATAAAGTCCGAGGTCGATATGCTTCTCTAAGTCGATATAACATCGTATTGACCTCTACCAAAGTCTACAATTGTTATATCATTAATCAACAACTATTGCATGAACAATGTAAAATTTGGGATTTCTAGAATGTATTTTAGTAACATGCTGTATGCCCTGTGCAATATGATGTTTTTGACCTACGAAAAGCTAAACACAAAAGTATTGGTGTGCAAACTGAGTAAATACAAATGTACATGTGATTATGTTTTAACGAATCACAAATCCTTAAAAATATTCGATTAATGATATAAGAACATAACCCGTATCATGTCAACAACTGGTTTTAGAATAAATGTGTTTATTTCCGATGCAAAGACCCTATGAGTGAATCAATATTAATTTTAACAAAACGCCATCTTTAATGACCTGCCAACAGTATCGTAACTATATCCCTTCTGAATAAGTCTGATTAAAGGTTTGGTTAGCTTTTGAGGTGAACGACTACATTTTTGTGCTTTATATAGAATATTAGCATGAAAGATGGGATGTGAAATACCTGAACGTATAAGATGTCTGCACGTTGATTTATATTTACGAATGATGTCCTTGTACTTATGATAAAATTTAGTAAATGTTTTTACAAGTTTGTGATATCGAAAACCTTAGTGTAACAATTTTTCAGTAATACAGAGATTTCTTTCGTTAAAATCAAATACGTTGTTACACACACGAGCGGATCGAACAAGTTGAGATATATAAACACCATAAGATGGTGCCAAGGGAACGTCACCATCTAAAAATGAATAATTAACAATAGGAAATGAAAATTCATCTCTTTTATCGTAAATTTTAGTATTAAGCTTTCCGTCAAAGATATATATATCAAGATCCAGGAAAGGGCAGTGTTCATTGTTAATTAGCATTATTTAAAGTCAGTTCAGCAGGATAACTATCTTTAGTGTCCATAATGAAGTCGTCATTATTGAGAGCCAATATATCATCCATATATCTAAAAGTATTATTAAATGTTTGTATTAGATGTTGTTTCGATAGGTCTTTGCTAATTATAGTCATACATTGTAACTTGAAACAATGCAGAAACAGGTCCGCAATAAGTGGTGCACAGTTAGTCCCCATTGGAATTCCGATAACTTGACGATATACTGAATCTCCATAGCGAACAACAATGTTATCTAGTAAAAATTCAAGTGCAGTTATCGTATCAAAGCAGGTCCAATTGACATAGTTCTTTTGTTTGTTGTTGTTACTAAAAACGACATAAAAGAGTTTGAACATATATATTCGCCGATGATTCTGACTTTTTGAATGCCCATTTAATAAAGTATGTGATTTTTCTAAATGAAATTATGAGGCAAGTTGAATATAGGGTAGAAAAATCAAAACTTTGAACAGATTCGCAATCACCAATATGAGGATGCAATTTATCAAGTACTTCCAACGAATTTTTGACACTCCAAAAATAATTAATTCCAACGTTTTCAAAGGCCTTATTTGAACAATTTATTACCAGGTTTTTGATTGTACCAAGTGTACTAGTAAGTAGAATAGACAGTTTAGTGGTGGAACAATAGCTTGAAGACGAAATAAATCTATATTTGTAAGCCAGTAAATAGTTGGAACTTTCATGTTATTCGGTTCTGCTTGTAAAGAGGTAGCTAAACGTTTATGTTTGTTACAGATGTCATTTTCCGAAAATTGAGTCAGTTGGAATGTTGGTGAATTCGTGATTTACGTTTGCAGAACCTCAATATAGAATTTACGTCAAACAATAATGATATTATGGACAGCCTTATCAGCCGGGACAAAAAAGTCCTTGGAGAGTTCTTTTAGCTTATGTTTGATACGAGAAATAAGGCAATTATAGTTGTTGTTAGGAGTAAAATGATGTTCATTACTCGTATGAAGCAGAATTCATTCAGAACCTTTTTAAAGACAAAAAGCAAAAGCACCTTGCAAAATTCTTTAATTTTACTTTCAGATATATTGATGATGTCCTATCACTGAATAACCCATATTTCAGTCAGTACTTGCATCTCAAATATCCCAGTGAACTTGAAATTAAGGATACTACTGATACAAGAAAGACTGCTTCATACCTTGATCTTTTCCTCAATATTGACACAGATGGACGACTACACACTAAAATCTATGACAAACGGGATGATTTCAACTTCCCAATTATCAATTTCCCAATTCTCAGCAGTAACATACCCTCTGCTTCGTCGTATGGTGTTTACATATCTCAATTGATACGTTATGCTCGTGCATGTTCACACCATACTGACTTCATATACAGGAGTGTGCTCCTTACGCAGAAACTGACCCAACAGAGATATGAGAAGGAAAGGTTAAAACTGACACTTTATAAATTTTATGGACACCATCACGAATTGGTTGATCAATACGATGTGTCTGTGTCTAAACTAACTATTAACATTTTTACCACGTCTTAGATTGTGGTTTAACATCTAAGTCGTCTGTCTGCTAAGTACAGAACGTGACCTATTCCCGAATATGACTGTTATACCGAGTGTAAATTTGCATTGCTATACGACGTAGTGTCTGTCGTTGATGGAAGATGTTCGTCGTTGTTCTGCGGTTTGCATGTTGTGTCGACTATTATATTATTTGTTTGTGCGTTTCTCTGTGATGAGTGTTCTTGCGTGTGTTTGTGCTGTATTTCTGTCACGTAATGTTGTCATTTTAGCGATATTTTAAACAGTGTCATAAAAGCGGGAGGTTTGGCTAGCCATAAAATCAGGTCCAACCCACCATTTTTTCTTTAAACGTCCTGTGCGAAGTCAGGAATATGGCAGTTGTTATCAAATAGTTCGTTTCTATGTATGTTGGCGTTTGTTTTTGTTGCACTTCAGTGTTCCTATTGTTCCTTTGTTTTCCTCTTATAGTTGATGTGTTTCCCTCGGTTTTAGTCTGTAACCCGGATTTGTTTTCTCTCAATCGATTTATGACTTTTGAACACCGGTATACTACTGTTGCCTTTATTTTTGAGCTTTTGACTTTGCCATTTTATAAAGGACTTTCCGTTTTGAATTTCCCTTGGTGTTACGTATTTTTGTTATTTTACTTTTTACTATGAGGATTTCCTTAATAGACTGAGATTGCTGCTCACGGCAAAGCCGTTGAACCAATTGTTTTTAAATGTAATGTCTTAAATTTTATGGGCGTCATCATTAGTTGGCTGAACATTACGGAATAACTATGTCACAGATGACGACGGACATGTTATTTTTGTCGTAACCACATTTCCGTCCTCTTTTTCTCGTTTGTAACATCAAAGAATGCGACTAATTTCCGGATTTTTACCTACAGCAATATCAAATGACATGTAAAGTATTTACACAGTTAGTAAAGATAAATATGACAAAGAATACCCCGGAAAAAAGTATTAACAATAATACCCCAACTCCATGGTAATTAAAAAAGGGGAAGTCCATCAAACCTGACAAAACCAAATGATCGACTATATCAACAAACGGAACGAATGGAAAACAACTATCAAAGATGTCGAAATGCCTCTACATCATGTCATTCCGTTACGTAACATATTGTTTTAAAATAGTAACAAAGAGAATTTTATATTGTTTAATTCGTCCTTTAGTTCACTTTAACATACCATTTAGGATATATGTAAACAAATCAAAATATGATACGGTTTACTTCCTATCAACTGTATAATGTCAATAAAAGTCTTATATACAAAGGTATTAAAAAGTAAAGATGCACGAGGCATTTGATTAGATTTCAGAAACATGGAGATGTATGTGGTATTAGCTGTTTTGGTTGTATTCTTTGGTGGAGCACTTTCAAAAGGTAAGTTGTAATATCACTTACCCAAGAATCTCAACAAAAAAATTAAAAGAAGACAATATTTTCCTTTAACTTCACGTTCCGCTTTACGGATATTTGAATGTTTTTACGATGTCTATCTCATCTATCCATTTACTGAAAATTCAGAATCTTTTGCGTGCATAATTATTGCGATTTTTCAACACTGAAAAAAAATTGAGATAAACTATTGCGATATCAGAGAACACTACACACAAATAATATTTTCAAATTTAAAAAAGCCCGTCCTTCGTGTCCTATCGCAATTTTCTCAGTGATAAAACCATCGCAAAAGAAAGAAAAAGATTTACTTTCGATATAATTTTTGTTTTTAATTAGAATGTAGTTGTATATATAAGTTTTGGGTGAACACTTTGTCAAAATCTTGCAATAGTGCTTTTTACCAATTTTAAGTATCTATAGTTTTATTTGATATGATATAATTTCTGAAATAAAATATTTATGGAACCCAAAAGTATATACACTAAAGCTGCATACTAGTAAGATTGGATTTTAAATGACCCATGAGAAAAATAAATTTCTAGGGAATAATCCAGCCGCTTTTCTAAAATAAGATGCCACATCAACTTCCGAGCGAACGAGATTTTAAAAATGTGCTCACATTGTTATTCTTTCTGTCTTTTTCTTGATGAAAGTGTACTCTCTAATAAAACATGTTCGTCAACAAACATTTTCCAGACATCAATGTTAGGATAGATCCAGAGAATGTTTTCCTAGACACTGACGACTTGGTGATTACATGCGAGTACAATTCACAGTCTGTCAAAACTCCAGCCTGGATAACCATTACCAGAAACGGTTGGTATGGAAAACATGACATTGTTACCATGACTGCTGGTAATCCACCAAGTATTGGCTACTTCTTTAGTGGCAGTGAATTCACAAGCAGGATGGAAGTAACCGGTAGTATTAAAGAGAAAACTGTAAGGGTAGCGATGACAACTGTGGAATGTTTGGATGAGGCTCACTACGAGTGTACTGCTGGTGGATTTACTGATCAGGGGAGGCTTGAAACGTTTACAGATTCATATTCCTTAGTTGTAAATTGTAAGTGTATTGCTATAATTATGAGTTTCATGAAATTGATTATGTTAACCAATATAATCAAACTATTTCGTCTCATACGAGTATCCGTAATCGAGCTTAGGACTGCTTTCTGGTAGTAATAACATTGCCCTTGCACATACCACATCTCCCCATTTTCTTATCAAACAGAAATTTCCGTCCTTAATAAAAAGGTCTTTCAGTAAAAATGGATGTAACTACATTTTACTATATACATTTACATGTATATATAATAACAAGCCAGGCAAAAATGAAATGAATGCATGGTACAAATTGATTCGGGGAAACCAATTTGTGCGAGTTACGGTCGGAACGATATGGATGCTCCAGCATTTAATCGTATTCTTTAACCTTCATGTTAAACAACACCGATGAGATTGAACGGAAATGAGACAGTAACGCAGGAACATAATATAACCTAAAATGGACACATTTGATACTTAATAACACACAAGCACCTATCACGTAAAGGTTACCCTTATCATAGACAAATTGTGAATGAATTCACAGAGACGACCAAATACCTATTACCAAACTGAATTCTCAATGGTCACCATTGAAGACTCCCCTAAAAATAATATAGAGATTGCACAATACGCATTTTGAAAAAATGACTGAATTCTTTTGACTTTTATGTATCACAGTTTTTGACTAAATTACCTTTTTCACATAATGAATTATGCACAACAAAGTCAACTTTTAAGTTGTATTCACATAGACCTAACAAAACATGTATATTGCTAAGTTCTCTCAGTACAAATCAAACTTCCATAGGTTTAGAACATTTATTCATTCTGTGAAATCATTACAAATACAAATTATTCTAGTGGGCTTAACCATCCATGATTCGTCCATTGACTAATTATTTAACTACATATCCTATAACAATTGATGCTTATATCTGTTATCAATCTTCTCATCCTAATATGGACACTTTTGATTTTGCTTGTATTTGACTCATACACATATACTAGGAAATCTTTCGTAGACTTTATTGTACCAGTCTAGCATTATATTTTGTATCAAACTATATTATCTTACTAATTATAATATGTTCAGTATGAAAAAAAAAGGATATGTGAGTGATACATCAATGCGACAGCAGCCCAACGACACAAAAAGTAAAATAAAATAAAACACTTTCAGCACATCGTACTTATATGCACTGTACCTTTAAATAGCTCATTCAAAGAGACCGTATGTGAGAATGAATGGTTTAATTGTTCCTGCAAAGGCGCCAATTGGAATAACAAATGGTGATGAGGTGAAAGTGGAATGCAGTGCCTTTGTTGGGAAACCGCCTAAACCTATGTACTGGTACCGGTATGACAACAATAATGGTTCCTATGTCATTGAGAGGAATATGATAACAAAAAGTTAGTATTGTAGGTTAAAAAAACAAATTTCATATGATCAAATTGATATCTTCTTCTTTGGAAGTTATTCAGCACTATTTAAAAATGTTATTATTTTATTAATCCTTCTCTTTACACTGTATCGTTTCGTCTTGGTTGATTTTGTTTGAAAACCTATACCAACGCCTTCTTTCCTCGGAAGGTCGGTAGGTTAGGTGGCGACAAAGCTTTTGTAATAGCTATCATTATCACGTTATCATTGATGGAAAAATGCATTTAATTTTGACAACTCTTTGGAAAAAGATATTATTTTCATTGGGCTTCCAGTTGACATTATTCCGTGCCTTTAGTGACAAGGAATTCAATCTTGGGGATAAATATGTCTGAAGTTGATTCTTTTGAGGGATGGGCGCTCTTGCCACCATAATGAATGAAAATACTAATTTCTTGTTCAGTTTCATTTCTTTTCACATCGTTGTTATGAATAAAACTGAATAAAAAGAGAATTTGGCAAGAAAAAAAGTATTGAGAATATGTTTTCGCATTTGCCGCCATAAAAATAGCATATTTGTTCTCATCGCTTAAGGTGAACCTATCTGTATACACTGTTAACCATTAAATATGAGATTATTTGATTTTTTCCTAGGTTAGTGGCTCCAAAGCATTGTTAATGCAAAATAAACAATAGTCTCTGTTCCAGTTTTGAGTTCAGATAAAGAAAAATGCACTCATACCACATCTTCTTATTTATATCTTCAAGTTTCCATATAATTAAAAAAGTTTGCAGCCCAAGTAATTTTACAACCTTTAATCTCAACGGAACAACCAATGGACTTAGTTTTAATGTGATTTTGTCATCAACGGACCATTTTTGTATTTAGTATGCAAATCCTTAAAAACTAAACAAGTTAAAACGAAAAAATAATGTTTAGATACTACTTGGGGTACAGGTTTGAATTAACTATTAGTATAATATATTACAATCAGCATAATATCCAACAGATTGTGCGATGCCTTTGCAAAATAACTGAGTAACACTATATTCACTATCCATTTTTTGTGCGATATTGTGTCTCAATTATACAAAACAATGTTGTATTTTACAGTTGAACGCAGATTGTTGGAAAGAGACCTTTGCAGATGGTATACAAAGTTTTCTATTAGGTTTATCGCCTCCTTAAGTACACCGGAAGTAAGACTTAGATGTGCTGTAGGAAACGAAGAGGAGGACGTTTATATTAATGTCATACCAGCCATCGGTCCATAGAATATGTTTAACAATGTTATATGACAAATGATGTTTACCATGATCTGTTTTCCCTGCTGTTCAGAGACTGAAACGTCTATGACTTACGAGTATTTTTACTCTTAAGAATTTTTGTGAAAAGAGCCGCTGCATTTTGTAATATCTCATCTTTAAAGGAGTAGGTCCAGTAAGACCCCTTTTTGGCCCCAAAATATAGCAGTTTTACAAAATTGCTAAAATGTAAACTTTAAGCTATTTATTGGAAAGTAGAATACTTCTGCTACATAAATATGGGCAGTTTTTGACCATACAATGCATATATATCGGGTACTAGCATCATTAAGTCATGCTAAATTACGGAAATCTTCACAATTTTAGCATTTGAGTAAAATTTTAGACGGTTTCCGTCTTAAATGGAAGTGGCCGCATTTGTGTTCGTTCTTAATATTTAAATGCAAGTTGTATTTGATGATAAAACATTAACATATATAAAGGTTGAGAGTGAACACGGATGCGGTCACTTTCATTTTTGACAAAAACCATTTGAAAAGTGACATATTATGGCATATTTGATAGATTTTTCATATCTAAGCTTGAATCTGAGCGGCTATAATGATAAAATCAGTTCAAATCCGTCACATAAACTAATTGAATCGACTGAAGTAGACACTTAAGTGTTTAAAAAGTGACCAAAATCTTTCATCAGATGAACCTGAAATTTGAGGCCAAAATCGGCCCTTACCGGACCTACTCCTTTCAAAACTTATACAAAACTCTACTCATGTTCAGTTTAGTACCATTGTGTAAAGTTTCTTGTTCAGTAAAGTACTTACGTGTATAGTTTCTTGTTTAGTTTTGTACTCACGTGTAAAGTTTATTAGTTGAAAACAAGTCAAAATTGTCTATTTAAACCACATGGAAAGAAAAAAAGAATTTTGTGGTGCATCAGGTATACCATATTTGTTGGAAAACTTGTAAAAAGATATAAGAAAATGTTTGCTATGTTGCCTTTTATTATTACATATCTATATAATTATGCAATACATACACACATAAAGTAATAATCTAATTAAGAGGTCCACGACTTACAACGCTAGAAAAATGGACTTAAAAATAAACAGTATTTATTATTCTCTCGACTTAATTCATGCAAAATCATTCTCGTCTTTTTATAGGGGATAAAGGCCGATGTACATTTAAATGAACTAATATGAAAATAGCTAATTCTTACTTATTACCAAAGAAATGATGATTTGACCGATACGGTGGTACTCAGTTTCATTGCTAAGAAGAAAATTTTAAAGTTCGTGTTTTTTTCATTTTCCTTCTTGTGCGTCAATAAAGTATTAAAGTACAATTTTACATATAAATGTATAGTTATAATTAAGAATGTGTTAAAAAAAAGGCAAAAAGCTTAAATAATTAAAAAAAAGTTACTGATGCGTACTAAATCTTAACTATGCCTAACCTTTTCCCTTATTCAATAACTTTAATGCACCAACCTAACATATATTGCATACCTCTCGAAAGCTTATTATCTATGCTTTCAGATTTGTTTGGTCGTAAAAAATTCGTACGGCGCAATTCTCGTTCAATCAAGGTCAAAAGCCATTCCTAAATTTTGCAAGAATTGAACAAAATGCTCTTTCCAGGTTCTTGTTTGTTAATCGTTTTCCAAAAATGGTATGAATGTTATAGAACAAATCCACTAATTCCTTATCAAGAAATTAATTGCGCAATATTTAAAGAAATTTCAGTTCTTAGAAAATCCTCCCAAAATTATGATATTAGTCTTCAAGCAATGTCTTTCATGACGGATCAATATTTATAAACCCAAAATAAAGTGTATTTATTGTTTATGGGTCAAGGAAAAATAGGGATCATTTTACTTTTCTGTGTTTAAATTACACATCGATTGTTGTCAATATCAATATCAAGAAGAAAATAATTTACCTTGATTTAATTTAGCTAGCTATAAACCGGGTTTAACCCTCCATTTTCCTCGGAAAATGCCTGTACGAAGTCAGAAACATGACATTTGTTTTCAACTCGTTCTGTTAGTTGATAATGTTCGATTTTGTCAGTTTTAATGAACGTCCCCTTTACCTTGGAGTTCGGTATTTTTGTTATACTTTCTTCAGAAGAGGTAATAAAAGTGCGAAAAGGATTATGCTAGTTATGTATAGTAAAAGTATGTTCTTCGAAGTCTCACTTATTTTCCCTTTGGAGTCATGTTGAAATGCTAACATGGCGTAATAGTACTGTTCGTTTTTGTATCGCCGGCGGCGAAAGTCCCTGACAGCGAGACATAGGGATTACAATGCGGCGGCGGCGGTGACGGCGTAAACCATTTGTTTAAATGCTTTATATTTCAGATGGTAGAAGACCTTGATTCTTCATACCCTATACACAGATACCTCATGTTATGAAGTTTCTGTCTGTCATATGTTCATTGTCCTTGACCTCATTTCATGGTTCAGTGACTGCTTGAAAAAAAAAGTTTTTATTTGCAAAGTGAAGTACTCACTTATTATGAGTAATAGGATATCTATATTTGGTATATGGTTCCTTGCAACGTCTACATATATAAAAATAATGAGATGTGGTATGATTGCCAATGAGACAACTATCCACCAAAGTTAAAATGAAGTGGATGTAAGCAATTATAGGCAACCGTACGGCATTCAACAATGAGAAAAACCCAAACGGTATAGTCGGCTATAAAAGGACCCGGCATGAAAAATATGAAACAATTAAATCGAAAAAACTAACGGCCTAATTTATAACAAAACAATTTACGACAGACACGAACCAACGACAACTACTGAACTACAGGCTCCTGACTTGGGTTAGGCACATAAAGAATGTGGCGGGATTAAACATGTTTGTGCGCGCTCAACCCTCCCCTAATCTGGGACAGTGGTGTTACAGCACAACATAAGAACAAAGTATAAAAATCAGTTGAAAAAGGCTAGTTCAAAGCCAATAACAACTAATAAAAAAATCATGTATCTAAGACAAAAATATCAATCGGTACACATCCAACATCCAATGGATTTGGTGTAAAGACGTCATTAACAGTCAGATAAAACATGACCTTCTGTAATTCCAAAATATAGGTATCTACAGATTGTAGTACCGTGAAAGTACATAAGTGTAATATTTAGTATGGTTTTAATTTACTGATAACAAAATCAGCATGTCCGTTAGGCGCCAGGTAAGGTTTTACCGGTACTCAACCTCATTTCATGGATCAGTGATCATGGTTAAAATTACGTGGTCAAGTCCGTATCTCATGCAGATACTATAAGTATTAGGTCAACTATATTTGGTGTATGGAATGATTGTAAGGTTTACATTTCTGACTGGCAGGTTTCATCTGCCCTTGACCTAAATTTCACGGTTCATTGGACAATGTTTACTTTTTGGGGTTTGGTCTATTTCTCAGATATTATAAACAATAGGTCAATTATATTTGGTGTATGGAACGATTGTACGGCGTACATGTCTATCTGTCAGAGTACGTATGCCATTGACACCTCATGTTCATGGTTCATTGGTCAATGACAAGTTTTCGAAATTTTGTCAGTTTATTAGATACTATAAGCAATAGGTCAACTATATTTGGTGTATGGAATGATTGTAATTTGTAAATGCCTATCTGGCAGGGTTCATATGACCTTGACCTCCTTTTCACTGTTCATTGTTCATGTTCAGATTTTGTGGTTTGATATGTTTCTAAGGTACTATTAGCGATATGATCACTATATTTGGTAAATGGAATGATTGTAAGTTGTATGGTTAATCTGACTGTGACCTCGTTTCATAGAACATTAATAATGTAAAGTTTAAGTGATACTCATAGTTAAACCTCCCTATTACAGACTTTCAACATGAATTCAATGATAAGTCGAACAGGCGAGACATTTCAGCGTGTGCACTCTTGTTCCTTTTTGGTGAAGTATTTTGTGGTATCTTATTTGTATGTTTAACCTCCTTTTTACTGTTCGTTGTTCATGCTAAGATTTTGTGGTTTGATATGTTTCTAAGGTACTATTAGCGATAGGATCACTATATTTCTAAGATACTATTAGCGATAGGATCACTATATTTGGTAAATGGAATGATTGTAAGTTGTATGGTTAATCTGACTGTGACCTCGTTTCATAGAACATTAATAATGTAAAGTTTAAGTGATACTCATAGTTAAACCTTCCTATTACAGACTTTCAACATGAATTCAATGATAATTCGAACGGGCGAGACATTTCAGCGTGTGCACTCTTGTTCCTTTTTGGTGAAGTATTTTGTGGTATCTTATTTGTATGTTTAACTTCTTGGCTTTTGGTATCTGTGTTTCTTCGACTTATGGTTTGAGATTGTCCTCTTGGTATCACCCAAATAAAATGTAATCTGTTTACGTCGAGATCAAATATTTGGGAAGCCAAATACCTAAAACGTTTTAGAGCATTAAACCAAAAAGGGCCTAATTAGAACAACTTATACAGACTTGGGCTTTTGCAGTCTTATTTTTAGTTACTAGTATACATACATTAATACTGAAAATTTACCAACAAATTGTATCATTTAAATCAGAACCGGAGCACTGGCTGTTGGGCGGATGGCACTCTCAGAGACTAATAGTCCACTACAATAGTTTAGAAAGACAAATGCATTGAAAGTTTCTAAGCATCAAAATAGAATTAAAAATCGAGAAGGGTCAACTTTGTCTGAGGGCAAATGCTGATACTACTTTTACGAAGAAAAGTTTGAAAATCAAATAAGATGTGAACTCTCATATAGTTAATATGTGGACTTTTGAAAAGAAAAAAAAAACATGCTTTCAATTTAATTGTCAATTGCGAAAGAATATTTTAATCACCTTGCAGTGCCTATTTTATTAGTGAACCGTCTATTTAAAGGACTGATAATAAAGCATTTCCAAAGGAGATTCCGTTACGTTGATTTGCTCTCATTATGAAAATTTTTTTTTGTTTTATGTTCATTGTGAGTGTTTGGTTTTTTTTTGTCTGTGGAAGATTTGAAAAGTTAAAATTTCGAGTAAAAGTCGTAATGTTTTTTCTTTGAAAAAAAAGTTCCATGATTTTGTGTCATGGATGGATGCCCGATATCCTTTGTTTTTCTATTATATAACAATTGCCTGGATGATTGAAGTTTATTTCGACGTTTACCAAATGATACCACGCTATTAAAGTTATATGCATTATTATAAGAATAAAAAAGAATGAGTTAAATATTAATAGAATAATTCATCGTTTGACCATAGGCAGTCAGTGACACGAAGTTTACAACCTTCCATAGTTATCTGTAAATATGATATTGTATACTTCCTATCTACTATAATTTAACTAGGACAGGAGAATTTGTTTCAGATATCTATTCAGAAACACAAAATTTAAGAAATATGATAACGCTGGTGAGATCAGCGTTTATAGCTCTTTATTTGGCTGAAGCAGTAACAAAAGGTAAGTCATGACTTTCTTGAAAACAATACGATAAGCTTTTTATTTCTTTGCTCCACCTACGATAGTATTACGGAATTATGTTTTCTGTTCTTTTTGTCCGTTTGTGAGTCTGTCTTGTATGAACTTAACGATTTCGGTTAAGGTAGTTTCTAATAAAGTTGTAGTCACATCAGCGTGAAAGCTTTCCAAAATCAGATACTGTGAAATTAGTATATTTTCAGGTTTAGTTTTTGGCTAAGGTACCATGGAGATTTGGTCACATTAACTTGAAAATTGAATCATATTTTCATTGTGAGATGTTCTTTTAATATTATATGCTACTTTATAGTTGTTAACCCAATATCTACGGTTCATTGAACATGGAAAGATTATAGTGCGAGCGGGCATGATGTCCCATGCACACATATTATTGTTTTTCATTTAATGACGTTTGATACCAAGAACTTTCAGAAGTTGCAAATTGTGAGGGGAGATAGACAAGAACATGACCAAAAAGACAGTATTAAATAACCCAACAAATTTTTGCAACATAGGGCACAGTCATACTAAGAGCTAATTTATTAACTTGATTTTGCAGTTAATAAATCTATCGGTAATTGGTCTAAGTTTTCTATACAAGGAAGTTTATTCAAATTGTATA